CACAGCACCGGGGGGTCCCGGCCGGTGAGGACCGGAGACCAGCGCCGTGTGCCCGCAGAGCCTGCACCGTCCACACGTGCTCCCGCTGCGGGCCGCATTCTGCACAGGCAGCGTGACTGCCCGGGGCTGTCACCAGTCTCCCCACTTTAAACAAGACACAAGCTCCCTGGGCCTCCTGTCTCCAACTGGCAAATAAAACAGGGGTGAAGACAGCACCTCCTCCTGGGGGCCAGCAGGAGCGAAGTCCTGAGGGCCCGGGGTGCTCTCCCGGGGGCTGGTTATTTCGTTTCATCAGGGTGGGGGGAGGGAGATGGAGGCCAGGGTCGGCCACGTGCTCAGGGTCACACAGCTGGTGGGCGCAGGGCTGAAAACCAGCAGGAGCTGCAGCGCGAAGCAGCCCTTCAGCTGGAGGGAGCTCAGGATCACCGGGGCCTTCAAGCAAACGCCGAGTCCGATCCGGTGGGTCGGGGCCAGTACGCGCTTCCGGCAGGACCCCGTGATGCGGGGCCCAGAGTTTACTGGCGGAAGGTTGGGGAGCTGTTGCGGGGCTTCGGGGTGCGCACCCCCGGCCGCTGCAGGGGGACCTGGGCGTGGTTCAGTGCTCTGCGGCTGAAATCCGTGTCCTCGTCACAGAGGAGCCCTGTGTCTGCGTTTGTCCTGGGCCTTGCCAGTGACGCAGGCTGTCCGGGGTCTTGGGCTTAGACGGGTCTGTCGACTCTTTTTCTCTAAGTGTCATCTCTGATTTCAATGCGTCCAGCCTCGTGGGCCCCCAGAAACCGGCGCAGCCACCACACGCTTCCCCTGAAATAGTAAGCGGTAAAAATACACCACTCGAAATAGTCCGTTCCCAGTTTGGAAGCGCGGTCTGCCAGCCTCCACTCGGCGCCTGCTCACTGATTCGGATTTTTTTGCTCCAATATCTCTTCTGCTGCCGGCACCTCTTCCTCCCCCGACCTTTCCTGGCTGGCTCGTCCCCCTCCGAGGCCAGAAACAGCACCCCCACCACCCCGTCCAGATAGCTGGGCGCCGGCCAGAATCGCTTCCTTAGATTCTTTCCCCTCCCTCCCTGGTGACACGGTGGCAGAGCTTTGGCCTGGCGGAGGGCTGTGACGGCGAGACACCCTCGTCCTCAGAGCCCTTACGCTGTGTGGGACTGTCACCAACACATGATAACCGGGAGGTGGCACCTGCCTGGTGCCAGGCCCTGTGCTGCGGGCTGAAGCTATGGCAGTAACAAACACGTGGCCCCAGCCAGCTGCACAGCCTCCCGGCCTGCAGGGAGGGACAGACGCACACAGAGAACGTCAGGGAACGCTGGGCTGGACCACACGAATGTGGAAGATGCCCGGGGGGCGGCGTGGGGGTGGGCTGATGTGTAGCAGGGAGGCCTTCCTGGAGGAGGTGACCTTTGACCTTTGACATGAGCCTTGGTGGATGAGGATGTGTTTGACAAGCAGATAACAAGGGGGAGAGTGTCCCCTCATAAAAACAGGCTAAACTCAAGCTGGGGGTTCCTGCGACGCAGAGACGCCAAAACTAAATGAGAAACATTCAGCTCTATTGAAGTCGCTCAGAATTTGGCACTCAGAAAATTTGGAAGAAGTTATTTTAACTTCGTCACATGCGGATTTTGTGTCATTCTGAAATTTTAAAAGCCGATTCTGAATTACCGATGGTGAGGTCGGAGGTCCCATGGTCCCGCTGTGCGTTCCAGCCAGAGGGGGCGGTGCACGCAAAGCCTCCCAGTGTGGACGGTCTCAGCAAACAGAGCAAACGCACCAGTCTGAGGCGGCTGACGACGGACCATGAGGGGTGAGGGGTGAGGTGCAGCGGGAGGCAGGGCGGGTCCCTCTGCCCGGCTGACGACGGACCGTGAGGGGTGAGGGGTGAGGTGCAACGGGAGGCAGGGCAGGTCCCTCTGCCCGTGCGCCTGTGGTCACGCTGTCCTCTCTGCCTGAACCGCCCTCCCCTGAGACTGCCAGTCAAATTTCCATTGGTTCTTCAAGGCTCATCTGGGTGTCATCTCCTCCGGGATGCCCTCCTTCTTGCCCTCAGGCTTGCCCTGGACCTGGATGCTGTTCTCCCCCACGAAACCCTGGGTGCACCTAAATTCTTTCTTGACTCTGTGGCTTTAGCAGCTTTGGAAGGATGGATGAATCCATGAATGAATGAGTGAGCTTTCATCGATAGGTGATTCTTTGAGCAGTAAAGTGGATAGGATTTTTTTTAACGGCTTCGGCTGTCTAAGCTACTTAAATACCCCCGGTGGTGTCTTCCTCCCAAGGGGAAAAGCAGGCAGTTACCCAGGAGTTCCGAGCGAGGCGGAGCTCTTCATTCATTCACTCGTGCGTGCATGCATTCGTTCCTGAGCCCATCAGAGTCGGACGTGGATTAACCGACAGCCCCAGGCTGGCCTGGGCCAGCTGCCAGAGGCACAGAGAAGGAGCTAGGTCACTGCCGCCGCCGTGCTCAGGGGCCCTGTCTGATGCGAGCATCATAGGACCGTGCTGAGGCTTCAACGAGGGGCCCCCGGCTGGCGGGGTGTGGTCGCTGCCCTGGGGAGTGTGGTGCGGATGCTGAGTGAACCCTGCTGCATCCTGCAGGGTACAGGAAGTCTCGGTGACCTGTCCCGTTTTCCTGATTGTCCAGGGAAGCCGAGCGCAGTGCAGGACATTGGGAAGCAGCAGGACGAGGGTGTCAAGTCGAGGAGGAGCCCGAGACTTTCCATCTGCCAGAGCCACAGCAGGAGGGAGCAGTTTGGGTGACAAAATAACAACCGAGTATCGATTTACAGCTCAGAGGATAAAATACATATTCACAAGTTCATCGTGATGTAAAGAAATGATTGACTGAGTAAATAAATGGGGAGGAGAGACAAATGTCTGGAAGGATTCCCAGTAATGTATGCAGCTACTCCACCCCCACGGCGGGGAGCCGGCCCCCCACTCGGATGTGGCCGTGCCGCGCGTGATGCCAGTGACTTCCATCCTAAGGGACAGGGTGGAGGAGGGAAGAGAGGACCTGCCAGGTGGCATCACCAGGGACGGGCCACGTGGGCAGCATGTGCCCGGGTACGCTGTGAAGCGGAGGGCACTCCCCCTCCGTGCCCCTCCTCCCGAAAACCCGTGACCCCGGTAACCATGAGAAAGAATCAGACAGGCCGAAATGGGGGGCCTTCTACGAAACGCCTGGCCAGGAGCCCTCGCGACTGTCAAGGTCACGGAAGGAGGCGTCTGAGAAGCCGTCACAGCCCAGAGGGGCCCGAGAGACCCTCCGGTGAAGGCAGCCTGGTGTCCCAGCCGGGATCCCGGGACCGACGGCAGCAGTGGGTAGACGGGCGACATCAGGACACGGTGTGGAGTGCAGATCGCACCGCTGCGCCCGCGGTGGTTCCTTAGTTGTGACGAGTGTGTCCCGCTAACGGGACGTCGATAAGGGGAACGGGGAGTGTGGTGTACGCAAACCCTCGTCGCAACTTCTCTGTAAATTTAAAACTATGCCAAAATAAAAGTTTACTTATAAAAAAGTAAATTCCTTCTAATCCCACTACTTAAAACCAGCCAGTCTCAACACACGCTCTGTTTCCCTCTTCATCGAGGTGAAGTTGGCATGCAGCATCATGTTAGTTTCAGGTATATGGCAAAATGATTCAATAGTTGCATGTTGCAAAATGATCACCTCAGTAATTCCAGTTAATATCTGTCATCTCACATCGTTACGAAATTTCTTTCTCGTGATGGGAATTTTTAAGGTCTTATGTTCTTAGCAACTTCCAAGCACACAGCACAGCATTGTTCACCAAAGTCCCCGTGTGGCACGTGACAGCCCAGGACTCCTGTGTTTCATAACCGGACGTTTGTGCCTTTCGACCCCTTCCCCCGTTTGCCCCGCCCTCACCCCCACTCCTGGCAGCCCTCGATCTGTTCTCCGTATCTACGTTTAGCTGCTGCTGCTGCTTTTTTTTTTGGATTCCACGTATAAACGAGATCATGTCTTTTTTTTACCTTGTCTGAATTATTTCAGTTAACAAAATGCCCTCGAGCTCCACCCGGTTCACAGATACAAGATTTCATTCCTTTTTCATGGCGGCGTAAGATCCTCTCATTCTTATGTCTACGCATTTCCCACTGACAGATCGCGCTAACCCGTATACACTCGCCACGGACAAAATGCTAACGTGCTTCCCTGTGCTTTGTCAATGTGAAGTGTGCGCAATTCCGCTTGCTCACAAGTGTCCCCTGCTTTTTTCATGAGCATAAAGGCTCCCTTGTCATTAAACATTCTCTGTGACCATCGTTATGTGACTGCAGGTTACCCCGACCATTTCTTACACGCCATCCCCGCCCCCGCCCCGTTTTCTGCATACTCACCCGCCTCAAGGAACATCTCCAAGCATATCTTTGTCCACCGTTCAGGGTCAGAGTCACCGAGGAAGCAGGCTCCGTGAAGGCCATGCCGTCTCCTTCACACCTCGGTTTGCTGGGGAAGAAGGGGCTTCCGGGAGGGGACTGGCTGACGTACCCGGGAGCTCTCGAGGGTTCTGCAGAGGGAGGGAGCGGGGTCACCTCCGTGCCCGTCAAGGCGGGAGCTTTGTGCAGCTCGTCGACCTGTGCTCAGCGTGCTTGAGGCCGTGTCCTCTAGAGGGAGGTTGGGTTTAGAAAGGCCACCACAGGGCGTCCACGCGGGACGGTCCTCACTGCCCCGTGCCCTCCCCCGGGAAAGCTGTGCTCACTGCGGCCAGCCCCGCTGCCGCGCCCTGTCCTGTGGGGACGCACCCTGGAGGGGCGGCCAAGAGTGGGCTCGACGTCATGCTCAGGTCCATGCTGCCTGGCACGGACGTCGACATCTGCCTCCTGTCTCCTCGCCTCAGTTTCCCCAGCTGACCGGGGGCGGAGGCACAGGCTGGGAGGTGAGCGTGCCAGAGGCCACGCAGACGTGGAGCCTGAGCTCGGGGGCCCGGGGTCCGAGCGCGCGCCCTCACCCCCCGCTTTGCGTTTCAGATCATGCTGGTGAGCTCCTCGCTCGGCGACCGTGACCAGAGCCTGTTCGTCAGCACGGACGAGGGCGCCACCTTCCAGAAGCAGCTCGTCCCCTTCTCTGTGGAAACGCTGATCTTCCACCCCCAGGAGGAGGACAAGGCCCTGGCCTACACCAAGGAGAGCAAGGTGAGCGGCCGCCAGGACTGCGGGGCCGGAAGCCCCGGGCTGGGGCGCTGGAACCCGCCTCGCCTTCTCCCCGAGCCCCGCCTGGCCGTGGTCTGGGCTTCAGCCGGGGGACCCCGCCGTGGGACAGCCGCGGGCGGAGGTGAGGGAGCACTCGGTGCTAACAGGCGCGTGCGGTGCGATCTAAAAATAGCAGGTAATTACTAGACCGTTCGGCCCTGCCTCCTCCTGCTTGCCAGCCACAAAGGCCCTCCACTTCCAGAACATTCTATGCACCCTCCCAGGCCGCCTCGCCAGGCCTTCCCCTCAGCCTGGACTGGGCTTCTGCCTTCACTAGGAAGAGTGAGTCAGCCGTCAGGTGCCACATCGGCGTCCCTCCACTGGGGGCTCTGTCTGCCAGTCCCCAAGGGCAGCTTCGCGGGGTGGCTGAGGAGATGCCAGTGGTGGGGGCTCTTTCCTGGCCAGCATGAGGTGGTAGGACAGCGGGGTCCCAAGGACCAAGGGGGCAGAGTGCCACGGGGCGGGGTGGGCCCTGGGATTCCCGCAGCCACTGCATGAACCCACCACAAACTTAATAGCTTACGATGCTTTTAAGAAATGCACTTTTCACAGTTTTAAAGGCCAGAAGTCCAAATCAGCTTAACTGGCCCAAAAGCAAGGTGTCCGCGGGGCCACGCTCCCCCTGGAGGCTCTGGGAGAGCTCCCCCTCCAGCTTTCAGTGTTCTGCATTCTGCTGCCTGTGAAGGAATCTTTGAAGGCTGCGGCTTCGCATTGTCCTGGGGGCGGGGGCTGAGAGGAGAGAGGGAGGGAGCGCTCTCCCCCACACCCCGCCCCACCTGGACCACCCAGACGCCTTCCCAGCCAAAGGTCCTCACTGAATCATGCCCTGCAAGGTCCCACCCATGGGGATCAGGCTGTCTTTAAGGGACTTCACCCTACCCACGCCCAGCGGCCCCACCGTGGCAGGAAAAGGGTCCAGGAGGAAGCCTGGCCTGGACCACAGTTGGGCAGTCGGAGGCAGGAGAAATCCCTCCCAGCCTCTCTCTCCTGTACCCTCACTCTTCTCCGCTGCCTCCCTGGGCCAAACCCAACCAGAGGCCAGAGCGGGGAGCCTAAGGAGAGGTCTACACAGCCAGCCTCCCCGGCAGAGGAGGCCGGAAAAGGGCAGAGCGCGGGTCCGGAGGCGGGGGGAGCTGTGGGGCCTTTCTCTGCCACCCGGTGGGCCCCGCTGCACCACACTCCTCCAGACCCCAGCACCTGTCTTCCCAGGATTGATCGTGATGTGTAATTATATGTTCGTGCTGTTACTTGATTGTTCCCTGCACCCTACACACGCACTCGGGGTAAGATCCTCCACGGCAGGGGATATGCCTGGTTTTTTTCACCATTTTATCTCAAGTTTCTGACCAAAGATGGTTGGTTGGATGGATGGATGCATGGATGGTGGATGGATGAATGGAAGGTAGATGTATGGATGCATGGATGGTGCATAGATGGATGTGTGGCTAGATGGATGGATGGATGGATGGATGGATGG